GGCGGCAGGGCGGGTCCCGCCGGGCCCCAGAGCCCGCGCGAAGCGGCCGCCCTGTGTCTGGGGGGCGGCAGCGTCCCCAGCCAACTGCAAGGTGCTGGGGGGACACAGCAGGGGGCTCAGGTTTGTCCTCAGTGACTGTTTCTGGGAAAGAAGGGAAAGGCTTAGAGCCCAAACAGGAGCCCGAGGCTCTGCGCCCTGACCCCTGCGGAATGACCCCCAGGTCATTCTGGCCGGCAGGTGCTGGGGGCGTGGGGGCCCCGGGGCTGTGGAGGTGAAGTCGGGATCAAAACCCGGGTCTTTGGGGGCAGAGCCTGGCTTCACCCGCCACACCCTGCTCTTACATTCCTGTGTTTTGTTGTTTTCTTTTTCTTTCTTTCTCTTTTTCGGTACTGGGGATTGGGATTGAACCCCGGGTCTTTGCCTGAGCTACAGCCCTAGCTTTTTTATTTTTTTAGTTTGAGACGGGGTCTCACCAGTTGTCCAGCCAGGGTAGGTTTGAACTTGCAGTCCTCCTGCTCCAGCCTCCCAAATGCTGGGATTACACACATGTACCACCGTGCCTGCTTTCCCAGTCTCTCTTAGGGGGCTTAGACTCTCTCAGTACTTCAAAGAGTGAAGGCAGAAACCACAATGGCTTCCTTTTTTCTTTCTTTCTTTCTTCCTTTCTTCCTTTCTTTCCTTTCTTTCCTTTCTTTTCCTTGAGACAAGTTCTCACTATGTAGCCTTGGCTGACCTCAACTCCTGCCTCAGCCTCCCAACTGCTGAGCCCAGCATCTGTGGACTGCCTCCCATACCTGAGGACACTTTCTCCAAGATGGTCTGGATTGTCCCTTGTTTACAAAAGGTCCTGTAGGGAGTTTGTACTGATAAAAGAATAAATCCATCCGTCACCTAAGTGTCACAACATGCAGCGTAGGACTGAGACACGCCTCCCCACGTCCGTTCCTGCCGTTTGCCCCTCCGGGGTAACCAGTGCGGTGTGTGCGCTCCCTCCTGTGTTCTGGTGTCCTGAGACCCGCACCCCGGAGCTCCTGTGCACACCCAGGGCGATTCAGACCGGCGCGAGGAGACCTGTGCCCCACAAAGAGGCGGGCACCACCGAAAAGCACAGGGCAGAGGGGCTCCGCTCTCAGGCCAGCGGAGGTCACGGGCCGAGGGGACAGGAAGGGGCAGCGGGTTCTCCTGTGAGGACCCTGCTGGTTTTACAGGGCCCGCGTAGCCCTGGCTGCAGCAGAGGACACAGGTGACATTGCCATGAGGGGCCAGGAGCTCACATTCCAGACAGTGTGGCCTCCCCAGGGTAAGTTCTCGGGGGACCCTTGCTGGGCGAATAGAGCCCCAGACTCCTCTCCAGTGCCACTGTGACCCGCTCCCTCCCTGTGGGGTCCTGTTGGAGGGGTCAGGACAGGCAGGCAGTGGGGACTAGGTGCGTCCACTAGGCGCCCCCAGCCGGGGTCTTCGGCCTTCGCCCTCTAGCCGTGCGGGCCTGTTCTGTTTCCTCAGGGCCCGGCCTTCCTCCTTCCCACTCCGATTTCTTGAGCTGGATCTTTACCACATCGTCTCGATCCTGGTCTCTACTTTGCTGTGTGTATTTCAGTAGTTTATGGGGGCCTAACCTGCCTATCTCCCCTTGTCTGCTGGTCTCACTGTGGGGGCGATTGGATGCTGAGCTCTTGGGAATGCAGACTTAAAACCTTCGGTAAACCCACAGGGAAAAGAAATATCCTTTTCAACATAAAACGATTAACTTTTTTGGTTTTTTGAGACAGGCCCTATGTCGTCTAGGCTGGTCTTGAACTCATGATGATCCTCCTGCCTCAGCCTCCTTAGTGCTGGGATGATGGGTCTGGACCAGCAGACCTGGTTTGGGAAACCTACTTCTTATGGTTTGAATTGTGTCCCCCGAGTTCATAGGTGGAAACCCTAATTCCAGGTGCCTTGGAATGCGACTGTTGGAGTTACAGAGGTAACCAAGGTGAACGGGGTCATGTGTATGTGTCTTAGTCACTTTTCTCTTGTTGCTGAGACAAAATACCTGACCCCCAGAATTAAGGAAGGAAAGGTTTATTTAGCTCACAGTTTGTGGACGTTTCAGGCCATATCCGGCTGGCTCCAAGGCAGAGTGGCACATGGCAGAGGGCAACAGTTCATGGGGGGGTGGAAGGTAGCAAAAGCCGCAAAAGCAAAAAAGGGAGCAAGCCTCTTTTCCTCCCTTACATTGTAAGCAGGCTGCCCCCACGCAGGGGGCGCGTAGCGCTCACACAATCTCCAGGCCCTCCTTTTGCTTGGGCTCAGGATGAACACAAAGTAAGTACCCTGGCTCCCTGCTGAATCACCTAGTTAACCTTCTACACTTCTCACACTGACACGATGAACAACTTCCCAGAGCAGGAGGGGCGTGGCCTCTTCACCCCAGGATGAGGAACTGCTGAGTCACTTAGCCAAACCTCTAGACTCCTCAAGTTGACACAATGTATCAACCATACCAGGTCCCTAGTGCAGTAAAACCTGGGCCCTTCTAAGAGGCGGAGACTAAACTGGGAGTGGCTGTGTACCCGGGAATCCCAGCACTGAGAAGGCTGAGACAGGAGGACTGTCACTAGCTTGAGGTCACCGTGGGCAGTATAGTGAGTTCAAGGTCAGCCTGTGATATATAGTGAGGCGTGGTGTCCAAAAAAGTTTTTAGAAAATCAAATAAGAATGGGATCTTTTTCCTTTCTGATCCTCCTAATTCCAGCAAAAGCTATTTCTCTGATTCAAGATGGTTTGCTAACTTGACATTTTTAAACTGCAACACACTGGGCTTTTTCCCATTGCTGGTAACACAATACCAGACTAGGTAAGGAAAGAAAAACATGTTTATTTTGGCTCCGGGTTTGGAAATGCAATGTCGAGGACCCGCATCTGGTGCCGGGCTTCACTCTGGCAGAGTGCCAGGGCATCACCTGGCAGTGCCCGGCTGGAGACCAGGGCGGGCATGTGTGTGTCCCACCCATCTCCCCTTACAAAGCCACTGGGTCCCTCTGGGCCCCGCCCTGCTGACCTCACCCAACCTGCCCGCCTCCTGCTCCCAAGGGGACCGAGTTTTCCAGCTCCGACCTCAATTTCCATGCGTGTTTTCAGAGGAGCAAAGCATATTCAAACCAGGGCGTGTTTTGTTTTTGTGAGTGCGTTTTACAGCCCGATGCCGCACTCTCAGGCTTTTTCACACAAGGTCACGTGAGGAGCTCCAAGGCACAGGCGGCTGAGCCTCTGAGAGCTGGGCTTGCCCTCCCCCCACACTTCGCATCATAAAAGCAAAATACTTGAGTTCCTGGGGCTTGGTAGCCCAGGCCTGTAATCTCAGCACTCGGGGAGCTGTGGCAGGAGGTTCACCTGGAGTTCCAGGCTTAGAGGTAACCCACGGCAAGGTCTGCCTCTGGCAGCCACTGTTTTTTTTTTTTTTTTTTTTTTTTTTTTTTTTTTTTTTTTTTTTTGGTTTTTCTCCGGTACCGGGAACCGAACTCACGACCTTGCGCTTGCCAGGCAGGCGCTTTTGCCACTGAGCTAAATCCCCAGCCCCGGCAGCCACTGTTTTAAACACTTTGCATTTTCTTTTGTTACATCTGCATTATTTATTTTTGCGGTACTGGGTATTGAACCCCGGGCCTTCTCCCTGGCCTACATCCCCAGCCCTTGTTTTATTTTTTATATTCGAACAGAGTCTTCCTAATTGTTCAGGCTGTTCCCAGTTGAGCCTCCTGCCTCTGCCTCCCAAAGGGCTGGGCCCCAGGTGCACACCCGCCACACCTGGCCTCGGAGCAGCCCTGCAACCAGAGAGGCTGGTGCCGGCGGCGCTGCTTGCAGCTCTGGGTGGCGGGCACAGACCCGCCTGCAGGGACCGCCACGCCAGGCCCCCTTTCCAGGGTGACCGAAGCAGAGGCGCTGCTGGGCCTCCCGGGCAGGTGGCTCGCAGAACCTTCTGGAGCTCAGCTGGCACCTGGGAAAGAGCAGGGCTGCAGCCTCGACGCTTGTCCCGCTCAGAAAACCACCGTGGGCTGGGAAGGCCTAGCACACCCGGAAGTGCTGTGGGCACTGGCTCGGGCGACAAGGCCCACGGGCAGGTGGCACCGGGCTCCGGGTTAGCGCTGCCCCCATCGCCGACCCAGCACCCCCACTGCGGGCGCCGCACCCAGTGCCTGCCCCGTTGCCTGCGGCCCGGGATCCAGCCCCACCCCCGGAGTCGTGCACTTGGAGGCGGGGCACAGTCGCCCCAGGGACGCACAGGAGTCAACTGCTGGGAGGTGAAAGCTATTTCCAGAGAAACTGCGTGGGTCTGAGCTGGGTGGGGACGCCCCCGCTGCCCTGGCCCCCGAGCAGTGCCAAGGCTCGCCCCTTCCCAGCATGTCCTGCGTGCTGGGCAGCACAGCCATGAGAGAGGACTGAGGAAAGTACCCAGAAGAGGCTGGGAGCAACTCGGTGGAACATCCGCCCCTGACAGCAAGGCCAGCAAGGCCAGGGTTCAGCCGGGTGCCCCGACACCCCAGGAACAGGAAGGGAAAAGGGAGAGGGAGACGTGGAGGGGGGGAGGGCTGGCTGTGATGGCCGGAGCACTGGCCCCAACTCTGTGCCAGGTACCAGATTTTCCCCAAGGCCTTGAGCACCGGCGCTGGAGTCCCACCGGAGGGTTATAAGGGACAGGTGCGCTACATTTCTATTATTTTCATAGTTACCTGTAAGCTTTCCTGCTCGGGGTTATCTGTGACCTTTGACTGAGGTCAGAGAGGTCAAAGTTCACCAGAACCTTAACCCTTCTTCCCAGCATCCCACAGCACCCAGGTAGCTCAGCTGACACTGCACTCCTCTTGCACTCGTGTTTGCCAGTGTTTGTGCTCCCTTCCATCCTACTTATTTGTTTGTTTATTTGAGGCAAGGTCTCGCTATGTAGCCCATGCTGGCCTTGACCTCATGGCGATCCTCCTGCCTCAGCCTCCTAAATGCTGAGTGCTGGGATTATAGGCATCCACCACCATTTCCAGCAGTTTGAGACTTAATAAATACACATTTTATGATAAAAATAATAGACACATCAGCGACTACTTAACTATATCATTTACATTTTAAAGTTTTCAAATTTAATGTGTCATATAAATTTTTTTTAAATTTTTATTTTAAAGAATAAAAGAAGGATAACATAATAATAGGGGGACTACAGACAAAATGGTAGGAAATTATCAATGGTTATCGTTTTACATATTATTATCTACAAAATAGTTTCTCAGGAAAACAAATAGACAAATAATAGTGAGTTAGAGACAAAAGAGGTAGGAGATTATCAAGAGTTGTGCTATACTTTGGTATCTTCAATGTGGCTTCTAAAGAAAATAAATAGAGCTATACATGAGTGACCTATTGAAAAATCATTAACTATTCTCAATGGTTGTTGTAGGAAACACATAATAATAAACATACATTATGAAATAGGATAGGAACATTACAAACAGTAAATTTTAATTCAATCTCAAAAAACCAAAAATTTAATTTCTTTTTTTTTTTTTTTTTGTCTTTTTGAGACAGGGTCTCACTGTGCAGTTCAGGCTGGCCTTGAGCTCAGGCTGGTCTTGAACTTGCAACGATCCTCTTGCCTCGGCCTCCTGAGTGCTGGGATTACATGTGTGCACCACCATGCCCGGTCAAAAATTTAATTTCTTAATCTAACCATTGTGTGCATAAACAAAGGTCCCATACCAAACGCCAAATACCACTGTTTTGATAGTGTTCTCGCAGAATCCAATATTTGTTTGGTTTTCTGTTTTTGTTTTTTGAGACAGAGTCTCACCATATAGTGCAAGCTGACCTCAAACTCCAGGTGATCTTCCTGTCTCAGCTTCTTGAGTGCTGAGATTACAGACGTGCACCACCCTGCCTGGCCTAGAATCCAATATTTGTCATGGTAGGCATTGACAACAGGGTATAAACACCCTTTGCTGAGTTATGCATTTCTTTAGTTAGGCATTTATCAGCCTCTGAGTACAACATTTTCATGACAAAAGCCCTTGAGAAATGATTCTTTTTGAAGATAATGTTTCCGAATAGTGAATAGCCAGTAGCGTTCTATGCTGTCACAGTGAAGATCTGAAGTTCATGACAAAGCTTAAAGAAGTACTGACCGGAAATGCTGCTGAGTGTTATTTATTGAAGACTTAACTTTTTGGGCTGGGGATATAGCTCAGCAGCACAAGCGCCTGCCTGGCAAGAGCAAGGTCCCGAATTTGATTCCTGGTACCAAAAAAAAAAAATAAGACAGAACTTTTTTTTTTTTTTTGAAGACCTAGCTTTTGAGGAAGTGCTAACATTAGTTACCCAAGTGAATGAGGAGCCGGGAAAGGAAAGATGGCCAGGCTGTGACAGAGGAAGGAGTGGCGAGGACAAAAGTAAAGAGGAACAGAAAATAAAGCTGGCTGTGGTGGCACACCTCTGTAATCCCAGCACTCGGGAGGCTGAGGCAGGAGGATCCTTGCAAGTTTGCGAACAGCCTGGGCTACAAAGTGAGCTCAAGGCCAGCCTGAACTGCATAGCGAGACCCTGTTCAAAAAAAAAAATTCCCAGTCCTTGAATTTTTGGCTTAATTTAACTTGTTGTTGCGGGGAGGGACAGGGTCTCACTATACAGTTCACGCCGGCCTTGAATGCACTTATGTAGCCCAGGCTGGCCTCAAACTCAAAGTGATCCTCCTGCCTCAGCCTCCCAAATGCTGGTATTATATATGCACCACCATGCCTGGCAGTTTATGGTATTTTGTGCCATAAAGTGATTTTTTTTTTTTTTTTTTTTTTGTTTTTTTTTTTTGGTACTGGGAATCAAACACAGGACCCTGCACTTGCCAGGCAAGTGCTTGTGCCACTGAGGTATCTCCCCAGCCCCCATAAAGTGATTTAATACTTTGGTTCTTTAGTTTTAAAAATGAGACTGTAGTTCTTTAAGTATTTTATTAAACTATTATCTTATTAAATAAATGTGGTCTTTAAATTCTTTGTGCAGAGTGCTTTGAAGTATTGCATTTAGTTTAAACGCACTACTGGCCCATAATTAATTATGAAAATACATTTTGTTACACTGTTTTAAAAAGAATAAAGAAGACTGCCCCACAGCAGCCCGGCTCACACGGGCCTGGCAGACGAAGGGCCCCGGCTCAGCGCGCTGCGCGGCTTTGGGTCATGGGTTTCACTTTGTTTCTCCCGCGCCACACCTGTGCCACGTAGGACGACGACGTTCCTTCTGGGGACTCGGCCGCCTGGGAGAGACGTCCCCTGGCATCGGGTGAAATCTCTGAGCTGTTCCCAGGCCAGGCCCTGGCTGTGCCCACGAGGTGTCCTCGCCTTCCTGAGCCTCCATCCTGTGTGGCCCAAAATGGGGACAGAACATCCTGGAAGATTCAGAGCAGCGGCTTCCCTCCCCACTGCCACCAGGAAGAGCCACCTCCTTCCCTAGGGACCCGTGCCCTCCACCAGCCCCAGAGACACCCTTGGCTGGATCTCCTGGGTCACCACCCAGGCTGTGCCCCTCTGTACCCCCTCCCACCAGCTCTAGACCACCCTGCCTCAGCCTACCTACCACCATTCTAGGGCGGCCCTGTGGTACCGACGCAGGGATTGGGTTATTCCAGCTGTTGTCACAGCCCGCTCCTGATGTCCAAACCTGGTTAGAGGCAGTGGTGCTGGTAAATGTTTTTCTTTCTGTTTTGTTTTGTTTTGCTTCTTTGTATGTAGCCCAGCCTGGCCTGCAACTGGCAGCCATCCTCCTGCCTCAGCCTCAGGAGCACCACCTGTAAGGTGTGCACCGTCCTGGGGATCGGGGCTGGACGGCAGGAATGAGGACCACAGAGGGCAGAGAGGCCAGGACAGGTGGCCTTGTGGTGACTGACAACAGAAGGTGGCTGGGCCTTGCCCTCTGCCCCAGAAACACTCGGAAGTCAGAAAAAAAAAACAGGATCAGATGATCCTGAGCAGAGGTGCTGCAGACAGGGTCACGGTGTCCCCCTTTCCGAGATGTGGGGCTGCTCGCAGAGGGAGCAGTGGTTGGGGCGGAGGGTTTGTTGTCCCTGGGCCTCTTAGAAGTGGTACCCACAAAGCATCATGGGAAATTCCCTGGTCCAGCCGAGGACACAGTGGAGCCTGAGCCCCGAGAGAGGGTTGCGTGAGCGAACTCAGAGGAGTTGAATCCAGAATCTTCCCACTGAGCTACATTCCCCAGCCGTTTCTTATTTTTTATTTTGAGACAGTGTCTTGTTAAGTTGCTAAGTTGTCTATGCTGGGCTCAAAAGTGTCACTCTCCTGCCTCAGCCTCCTGAGTGAGTGCTGGGGAGACAGGTGTGCACCAGAGCACCGAACTGTATGTTTGATTTGTTTGTTTGTTTGTTTTTTTGTTTCTCTTCTGGTACCAGGAATCGAACTCAC